ATAATGAGAGGATAATGAGATATGTGTGGTATTTTGGGGAACTCACTAAGCTTCGTGCTTACCATGTTATGTTTTATGTGTTTCAGGTACCTCTCAGGATCACGGGAAGGCACCCGCTTGAAAGTACACACTGGAACGAGATTATTTTCATGATTTTGGGGTAGTGATTTTTATTTGTGGATTTGTTGACGTTTGGGACACTTGTGGTTTTTGAGAAAATGTAAAATGAGTTTTATTTTGTTTTAAAATGAAATTTTTGTTTGAAAATTTACGATGTAACAAACCCTAAAACCCTATATAATTACTTTTTACTTAAAATACATCGAACTAAAATCCTTAATTCATAAAAGAAGTCTAAAACACCACTTTTCTATTTTACCCTTTGACTCCAAAGCACAAACCGAACTCTTGGATCACATAATCTACATTACTCAAATCTAAATAGGTCTAAACATCTCTTCCCTAAAGCCCGAAGCCTTATGATACTTGATCTTCGGGTCACAACCCCCGAATTATGAAGCGACTCAAAATAGGGTGTTGTAGGCATCGTATACATGTTAATAATATGCCATTACTAATGATATTTAATTCAAGGGTTAGTTGATAACTCAAAACATTATACAATGAATACATTTGTAGTTGTTATGATGATTAAATAATAGGTATTTATTTATATCAATGGGTATGATATCATAGTTAATTAGTTTATTATTGTGTTTCACTTTGCATATTTTACTTATTGAATAATTTTATTATTCAAAGTTCCACGGCCGCTCATACTTTGGAAGTGAGTAGTGAATTAAGATTGTCATGAATCGATTGTGGATTGTCCATAGAGATTGGACGTTAATATATTCTATTCTTAAAACGGAGATACATAAGTTGTAATTTGCAAGTCGGTTGTGCATTAGTATTGTGTAAACGAATCAGTATAAAATGTAGTACGTGTATAATTTTGCAAGTGAAGGTTAAAGTTAGGTAGTCAAAGTTTATTCGTTCCTTTTGCCTTAATAGGAAAAGTGATATCTTTAGGCCCCTCAATGATTTGTTGCCGAAATCAGAAATGCTTGACCGAGCCGCGATTAAATTGATGTTTTCGATTAGTTGTCTGAATTCAGTTATCGTAATTGGGAAATAGCAAAACATAATCTTGGACTATGATATTGATTCTAATCCATGTCTCATATCGATATGATATATTGTAGAATGAAGGACTAGAAAATCACTTATCTTAGGGCCAAAGCTTGATTTGAATCAGAGTTCGGCAATGTGACAACCAAAAACAATACATCACCAACTGTCGTTAGATTCTAACGCTATCAACAACATGTAATAGGACAACCATGTATCCATTCGACACATATAAATAAATATACTCGATTTTTTCCTTATTTACGTCAACATCTAGGATCAAAATTTAGTGCGCAAAAAATCGTGTCACTTGAAAGCAGGTTTACATTTTTAGAATATACGCGTTGTCACGATTCCAAAAATATAAACTTAGTATAAATCCCACTTGGTATGATAAAGATATGATCTTTATGGTAAATAAAAATACACCGCATACAGAAATTTACAATGTAAAAAAACTACACAGAGAATGTTTTTACATTTTCAGAATATACGCGTTGTCGCGATTCCAAAAATATAAACTTAGTATAAATCTGACTTAGTATGATAAAGATATGATCTTTATGGTAAATAAAAATATACCGCATACAGAAATTTACAATGCCAAAAAACTACAAGGAGAATGTTCGACTTTTGGCAGAAGTAACCAAAAGGAGAAACGTTCTACTACTCAAAGTAGAAATTTTAATGCAAATAATGCCTAAAACGAAACCCATATGAGAGAGTTACGATTTTTATTAAATCATATTAGTTATAAAATATAGACTAAAAACAAAAGTTGGAATTAACCAAAACGAGCAAAAGGAAAGTTGTAGTTGAAAATGGATATTGTATGCAAAAGATGCTAATTTTTTAAGTTTGATTTTAACCTCACGGCAGCCTGCGCGCAGTGCGCGACATGCACCTAACGACAGGATTCGTCGGGATACAAATGACATTGCACAAACAGATGAGGACATGTCGCAGCCCCCTATTTCTTACGCACACTTGCGCAACGTGCACTCAAAAACTGATTATAAATAGAAGGTCCTGGCAGTTCAATCCCTCACACACACAGACACACGCACACACACACACACACACTCTCTCTCTCTCTCTCTCGGTTTTCATGCCACTGATTCCCATGAGCCGCCCTAGTTTTGGACTTCCGAATTCTACCTTACATCAACAGTTTTACGCATCAAGGGTGAGTTCATAGCCCCACTTTACTGTTTTCAAACCTTTTACCGGGGGGGGGGGGGGGGGGAATACACGTAATAAACTATCACTTTCATAAATATTACTGACTGTATAAACTTAGTAATATGATTATGCCTAGAACAGTAGGATGATATTATACTATACTCTGTCTAACTTTTAGGGATAATATCATGCCTAGTTGTTATGTTGACTCACATTGATAGAATACATCACACCTAGTAGTTATGTTGGTAGGTTGCCATAAATGCTTTTTCTCTAGTCAACACTATAACCAACCTTTAGATATGCTAAGTACCTAATGGTTACTCTGTCAAAATACCCGTAAATGCAAAAAACTCTAAATTATATATATATATATATATATATATATATATATATATATATATAATAAGTATCTCGTATAAATACAACAATGAACAACAATACGACTATCGACTAGGGGAGGCCCCCACAAACAAGTGTTAGATTAGACACCATTCATCCTTATGCTAAATAGCCTTTAACTGTAAAGCCCTAAGCCTATGATTGTTAAATCTTAAGTGAGTAAGAAAGATATGTATAGATCTATATGGAGTTGACACCTCCACCTGTGGTTGCTAATTACAACCCAACAACAATCGGTGCGGGCATAACTTTCTAAACATGGACGACGTCTGATGAAGCATCAGGATACTGGGCGGAAGACAATAACTAGTCATAGCTCGATTATAGGAACTTATTGTAACATTGTTGAACTAACCTATCTAAAAACTACAACTAGGAAATAAACCTAAGAAAGTAGAGATAAAACATAAAATCAAATATGCAACAATGCTGACACAACAAACCCTATGAAATGTATTAAAGTAAAAGAACATATAAACTCACCAACATTATGTTGACCTTTCAAACCACATGTATTCTCAGGAGAATCATTCCGGAAGGAGATGAGCAAGATCCAGGTGATGCAGCAGGAGGCCTATGTGTTATATTATTGCATTTTGCTTTTGTAACGTATATGTACCTTGAACACTTGTGTAACCTATATTACTTAATGAATAAAAAGTAAAATTTGCATAATATTTGTGTACTATTCAATGTGACTTTTTATCTATGATCCAACACCCTAACGTCACACCGCCCGGCATTTCCGCCGCCGACTGGGGGTGTGACAGATTGGTATCAGAGCGACAAGTTATAGCGAACTACTAATTTCATAGAAACTATGACTATAACATAGGGCATACATTCCGATTAGGATTAACCAATAAGCCTAATAACTAAAATTATTATTATTAATTACCCTATTGATAGGCTACTTACGAGAGAGTTATCTAGTTTGAACTATCACTTGGGTTGTTGGATTTTAGAATGACTATATGCTAAAATGGCCATAGCCTCTGATAATTCTCACTTGGCCAATCCTTACTTGATAGTGTTGAAGTACATAACCAAATATTAATAAAATAAACTCAACCAAACAAAAATTTAAAGATATAGAGCTATATAAATACGCTCATATAAATATATCTACCCACCGCCACAAATCCACGAATCATAAACTCAAGATTTTAGGTCAAAAACAGTATTTAGAGTTAGTATAGTATAATGGTTGTACCACAACTAGACTTAGAGTGCACAATTAAGTTTTATTATAGTTAGCAATCTAAATGTTTGAGGACTTTTGGATTGGATACTACACTTGGAGATCCTTTCTTTTCTTCCGATATAGGGATTTGCTACCTTGAGGAATTCTTTTCGGCTTAGAGACATCTACACTTGAGGATTCTTGGCTTAGAGAGTGCTATTAAGGATTTACGACCTAGCAGGAAGGCTCAGGAGTTTCGAGTACTATGTATTACATACTTATAATTGGATATTATTTGTATTTAATTGATCTTCACAACTCTCATAAACATCTTCCCTGCTTGATGTCTTATGTAGGTTGCCGGAGAGCAATAGCGAGCACAGGATCTTGGTCAACAACTTCCATGCCATAGGAGATGCTAGTACCTGACGTTGCTGACCCTGAGGACACTCCGTCCCCAATAGTCCCAATAATACTTACACCTATGGTTTCTGAGGAGGAGCGCATGGAGGATGAGGCTGATGGAGCTGATGGTTTGGACCCTTCCAAGCCGACCGAGGAGGACTACACCCTAGCAACGCAAAGCACATCAACTCTGACTACGAGTCGGATGAGGAGGAGGTTACCGCTACCTCAATAGAGATTTCACTACCACCAACACCTTCCCATAAATTGTACCGATCACACATTACTGGTACTCGTGTCAAGACCACCCCGAGGAAGACTACACGATCGTTGTTCTTTGTTCTTTGAAAAGTTAAAAAATTAGCACTGTCTCTCCCTTCCTTGATTATTGTAGTACACGAAAAGTCCATGTCACAAACAATACCCCTCGGCCCTAGCACTAACAACATGGCTGGAAAACATATTTACCAATTTTCATTTTGTCAACTCTCATAAACATCTTCCCTGCTTGATGTCTTATGTAGGTTGCCGGAGAGCAATAGCGAGCACAGGATCTTGGTCGACAACTTCCATGCCATAGGAGATGCTAGTACCTGACGTTGCTGACCCTAAGGACACTCCGTCCCCAATAGTCCCAATAATACTTACACCTATGGTTTCTGAGGAGGAGCGCATGGAGGATGAGGCTGATGGAGCTGATGGTTTGGACCCTTCCAAGCCGACCGAGGAGGACTACACCCTAGCAACGCAAAGCACATCAACTCTGACTACGAGTCGGATGAGGAGGAGGTTACCGCTACCTCAATAGAGATTTCACTACCACCAACACCTTCCCATAAATTGTACCGATCACACATTACTGGTACTCGTGTCAAGACCACCCCGAGGAAGACTACACGATCGTTGTTCTTTGTTCTTTGAAAAGTTAAAAAATTAGCACTGTCTCTCCCTTCCTTGATTATTGTAGTACACGAAAAGTCCATGTCACAAACAATACCCCTCGGCCCTAGCACTAACAACATGGCTGGAAAACATATTTACCAATTTTCATTTTGTCAAATTACTAGGGTAAATCATATTTACTCTTTTGTTAAATAATTAGCATAAGTATTTGTTTCAAAATCAGTAAATCGTTAGTGACGATTGTATTAATATGTTCTTAGTTGTTTATTAGTTTTAGATTTAGGTTTTTATAGTTTTAATAGTGATGCTTTCAAATTTGTAAATGGACGGTAAAGTTGTATTAATGCCGTCTTAATTGTTTAACTTATAAAGTTATAGTTAAATGTAAATTTTTTTTGAGTTTATGACCATTGTCATTTATTTCAACAATTTTTTTAGAAATAAAAGCAAAACAAAATCTTTTGTCTTGTGATCAAGGAAAAACACATAGAAACAATGAAAAACTATCCACTCCTTCAAAATATATAGAATTATATTTAACTTGATAATCTTTAGTTTTAAAGTTTATTATATTTGTCTTGGATAGTTTATTAACAATCCTATCCGGAAAAATCAATTTTATTCTATAGCTTTAGTTACCCAACTTAAAATGGACACCCTTGAGTTTTAATCTTAGATTCACCACTGGCTGCAGCACCTACCCGTACGGTGGAGACCTCTGTTGAACAACAGGATGCATCATTCCTAGTACATCGGAGTGCTCAACACTTCGACCGCATAGGAGCCTTCGATTTTGAGCTCTTAATGTTGAGGGCGGTGTTTCCTGATAGAAACTCCATCCACATCAGTTTTCACGTGTGAAAAAAAAAACCATAAGGAAAACCTTAAGACGAAGAATGTTGTCACATCGTCAACCTAAATTTATTTGGTAGCTTTTTAAAAGATGTGTTATTAGATTGCAATAGTAAAAATACTAAAACTTGCTCCAACACTTACAAAATTTTCTTTCGTTAAATGGTTTGTGAAATATAATGTTAAAACAATTTAATAGTGTTGTAGTATTATTCTTTGCGTACGGATGGGTGTATTTGGTTATCGTGCAGCAAACCAGTTAAATCCAATAAGTATTAATGGAGTAGGTTTCAAGGTTGGTGGCCGAGCCCACAATTAAACAGCGTCTCTGTAATCTCTCCATCTTCAAAACACAATCCCTGAAAAAGCCTGCTGCCTCCTACAACCCTCTCTCTCATCCACCTTCCGCCTCCATAAAACCCCACTTCCACCCTCACAATCTCACCAGACAAAACCAACATCTTCCCACTTAAACTATAACCTCTCTTTCCAAACAAAAAAAGCATTCACAAATGCCATCTGATTCCTGCGATCACCGGCGAACTACCATCGCAAAGCCGCACAACGTCGGTGGTTGTGGTGGTGCTGCTGGCGCAGGTGCAGGTGCACCGCCGCCTGAACCCGAACACCTTCCGTGTCCACGTTGCGATTCTACCAACACTAAATTCTGTTACTACAACAACTACAACTTCTCTCAGCCGCGTCATTTCTGCAAAGGATGTCGCCGTTACTGGACTCACGGTGGCACTCTTCGTGATATCCCCGTCGGCGGTGGAAGCCGGAAGAATGCTAAACGTTCTCGTGTCACCACCAACGCTCATGGCAACTCCACTATTTCGCATTCTTTGGAATTCCGTCATATGGCTCCACCTACTGGTACCCCGATCTTGATCCCGTTTGCAGGGGAGCACGGCGGCGGATTACATTTTCTCGGCGAAGGGAAGTCCGGGGTGAGTATGTGCGAGAGTTTTACATCGTTGTTGAATAGTACACACGGGCCTGGTTTTTTTGGAGTTGGAGGATTTGAAGATGGGAGCTTTGGTTTTGGAAGGTCGATTTGGCCGTTTGCCGGAATCGGAGATGGTGGTTCTGTTCAGTATGCGGCGGGTGGTGGTGGCGGCGGCGGAGGGAGTATGATCGGCGGTGGGCATACGTGGCAGGTGGAGAGTGGAGATGGTGGAGATTGTTTTACTTTGCCGGATCTTGCTATTTCTACACCAGGAATGATATGAAAAATGAAAGTTGAATTTAGAAGTGATAGTGTAGGATTGTTAATGTGCTACCATCTGTATTAAGATTAATTCCTGTTCGGTTTTAGTACGAGAAAACAAACAACCTTTTAAAGTGTGTCTTCTAAATTCTAATACCAACCGTCAGAATTTTTTTTATTTCCATTCGAGAAATCTTAATTAACTTTTTTTTTTTTTTTTAATCAAAGCAAATAATTTAACTTAAAAGAACTTATTTGAATTAAATGTTATAATTTCTGTATAATCTAGGAGTTAGAAAAAAAATTATATTAAATTGATTACTTATCCAGTTTCTGTGAAAGACAAGGATCGAGGCAGTTAAGTTCCATCAGGTTGATGCTGTCTTCGCTGCTATGCCGCCAACAGGGTCCTATATGCTATTGGAATATAATAAAGGTGTTCTAATATTATATGGTATGTTTATGTTAAAACGAGACTGTATTTTGTATTTTAAAATTAAAAAAGTTCGGGACTCAGTATTGTGAATATTGGTGTTAGTAGTTTTGGTTTGGTGTTTGGTTATTCGATAATCTTAAATGTAATCGGTTTCATTTCATGTTCATCTTTACATTTTACCTGATTTTCTTTCGTTAAATCAAATGGTATTACAGATTTCATTTTGACAAGAAAGAAAAACAGCTCTTTGTTTATGACCAAAAGTTCAATAATCTCTAAAGTTTTGTAAGAAGATTAACACCTGATGATACTCAAAGGTGAGTTAATCCGTTGACGGATTGCCATTGAATTTTCAACTCTTAATGAATGAAGTGAAAACACTTGATCAAGCCGTGAGGAAAGCAAGCAAATTTAAGAAAACACTCACGATGTCGGGATAAAGAAAAGCAAGTAGGAAAAGGTGGCAACTACAAAAGTACAAGTGAAATGCAAGGGAAAGGTTGTTTGATATAAAAAAAATATTCAAAGAAAGAAGCAAGAGCTGGGATGACCAAGCTAAACAAAAAGAGGATGTTACTTGTTTTAGATGTGGATAAAAGGGACGCTGTGCCAATTCTTTTCCTATCACGTTAAGAAAGTGTTACATATGTAATGATTCTGCAGTCTTTAGCAACTTGTGGAGTTGGCCAATGTGATTTCTATGTTGTTTAAATGATAAGGCGATATGAACAGATGATAACAACTTGGCAAAGAGTTTAAGCACATGTCAATGACTAACTCCTTGTCAAAGTGCACATTGAACCTAACAAGGCGTACCATGTATCTTTGCATTCTTTGCACGTGGTTGCACATAAACTCTCCTTCTATCATCTTGAAAGCAATGAGTAACTTGATCACTAGGTGAGTCCTAAGATCCACCTAATTTTTTCATATTATATGATATTTATATACGAAAAAAAAAATACGAAATATCTTTAAAAAAAATTAGGAACTATCTAATACTATTTGACAGAATAAGAAAACAAATAAATAATAAAATAATGACGGATTTATATTTAAATTTCAAAGCAAATGGTTAATACTTTCAAAACCTATCACACATCAAAGATAAAGAGAGAGTTGAAGTTGTTTGATGTTATAAAAATAAATTATGAATAATTATTAGGAAATTTAAAAAACAACACAATTCCTCTCATATTGTTGGTCGTACAAAATAGTTGTTGCAAACGAACTTTTTAAAAAGGAAAGAGACTAGGTCGTGCAATGTAGTTTTTTTTGTTGCAAAAATCGGGTTTTATGGTTGAATAGACTGATTTTACCAGTTTTTAGCTATTCTATCGGTCTAGTTAACTCGAGTTATTACAAATCGGTTGTTTTTTATTGGTTCGATCCGACCCGATATGGCATATATAACGTTGACTCTTTGGTTTTTCCGTCTGCACTTAATTAGGAACCATGTGCAATTCTATTTTAGATTCGCCATTTCTTTTACACAAGGTCATTATTCATCTCATATGGCCAGTAGACTTCATAGAACCTCTGCAACTCAGGAGCCATTGTAGCGACCATGATGCAAACAACTTTTTTTTTGCATTATTGTAGTGTTTCTTGTAGGAGGCTAGTTGTTCTGGAGTAGCAGTGGCTTCATCGATCTCAACAAGTTTTTCTTCAAGAACATATTCTTTGCCCTCAAATCGAAGAGCTATCTTGATGTTGCGTATCTAATCATTGTAGTTGGTGCCATTAAAGGTCACCTTGGACATGATAGAGAGTAGGGAGAAACCAGAATGGTGGGTAGACGATGAAGGAGCAGAAGCATTTAGAGTAGACATCTATAGAGGAAAAACAAACATTTTTAGTTAGATGACAATAATCCTTAATATTTTAATTCATAACAAAGCATTAAGGCTAGATCAAAAATAATAATTCACAACTAAGAAGATGGATGCAGTAATCTTATTGCGAATTTATAAAGGTATTTAAAAGCAATTCAACAATTTTGAACTATGAAGTTCCTAAATCTTTTAAGATTCATTGAATCTATCAATGACATGTTTAATCTCAAATTATACTCTACTATTTGTGACTAAGATACCGATGATCACAAACAAGATGTGAATAATCATACAAATATACTTGGCACTCTCGATGTTATTTATCATCTCATATTAGGCTGTGTTTGGCGCGCCACAGCTAGCTTATTTTTCGAGCTTTTTTATGTTGTCGTTTTTGGTAAGCCAAAAAGTAGCTGATAAGCAAGCTTTTTGAAAAGCTACTTAGACTAGCTTTTTAGGAGCTTTTTTTTTTTTTTTTAATTTTCAAATACACACCTTAATTAATTATAGAAACATATACTCTTACATGTCATTTTATGTAATTTTATATATTTTAGCTACTTTTACCAAACGTCATTTTTTATCAGCTAGCTTTTTATTTAACAACTAGCTTTTCAGCTCTCAGCTAGCTTTTCAGCTAACAGTTAGTTTTTCAGCTAGTACGCCAAACATAGCCTTAATGTGTCGGTTAACCACACGCGCTCCATTAATCAATGATTATTTTCAAGATTCCCATTATTACTCTTTATGGTCACTATTAGTGTGTCAGTTAACCACACGCCCTCCACTAACTACTATAAAGTATAATATGTAATTTTATAGATTAACATACTTTTCATATTTTTCCTACAATAACTAAAAGTGATATTTTATATAAAAAAAATTTAGTTACTTTTATATCATTATACTCATTAATGAATTTATTTGTCCTATCAAATCCATTATGCTAACTACCATCCACCAAACAAAAAAGTAGTGGGTGAGAGTGGACGTCCAATCAACCGTCGTTTTATAGGCAATTTTCTTATACCCCTTATAGTTCAGCTTTTATAAATGAGGCATACTAGCGATCCGATTGACTTAATCTTACACATATAATAATTTTAACTTTTAATATATTATATTATGTGCATTTTAAAAAACCTTTCAAAATCCTAGGTTTAAATTAAGTTTTCCAAACTACGGAATTAATTTAATTTAAAATAATCCAATTATGTTTTTAATCTTTCTCTTTTAATTAATAAAATAATTAAATGTAATTAAAACATAAGGATAATTAAAAAATTCAAGATAATGATATCTGATTACTAATATAATTATTCAGTTTTATATATAATTAAAAACATTATCTAAAGTAATTATCCTAATCAATTTATGAATTAAGCAAAAAATATTTTTTTGCTGATTATAAGGTCCACCACGTCGTGGCGGAATGGAAAAATATGTGGATTTGAAGAACATCACGTCGCAGCAGAATAACGCCACATCCATGGAAAAAGACGTGGATTTAAAGAACATCACGTCGCAA